GAAGGAAGAAAAGGAATCATGAATGGAAAAAAGAAACAGGGAGGAAGCAGCAGGAGTGCTGTTTCATTGTGGGGGATTGTAATCAATATCAGGAAAAATGTGTGCATTAATTATCACATGGAAAACTAATTTCCTCTGTTAACTTTCACCCAATCACAAAGGAATGCTAAAAACAAACAAGTCTTTCCTATGCTTTTAAATAGAAAAAAATTGTGTCATGGTCAGTTTTTCATTCTATGTCTATTAATTAATATTTGATCAACTATATGTGTTAGCATTTTCTATTAAAAATTGGGTGTTCAAAATCACAATGAAAAGAATTTCAGAAATATACATTGTGTATGGAAAGCACCAAAAATGTTGATTTTATATACTCAGATATAGTTTATATATTTTTAAATTTCTTACTTATCAAATTTCATTTACTTTATTTAATTATCAAGTAAGTATTTAACTGACTTAGCAAGTTAAAAACTGTAAATTTAATTTAAACTCTAGATTCTGTTTGGGTTTAACCTATGTTAAAGACCTAAACAAGATTGACAAAAATCCACGTTTGCCCTCTCAGAATTTGTATATTTCAAATAGATGTTTCTCTGATACTGCTGCTTTTCTACATCATTAAAATTCATTCTCGGATTAGCATCTCTCATGATTTTTTCTCTTGATTTGGCATGTTACCATGTTAGAAACTCAGTTCTTTTTCCTTATGTGTTTCCTCTCTTTTCATGTTCCTTCAAATTAAACCATAACAAAATATCACTAGTCAATACCAATGACTGTTATCAATAGCAGCATTATTGAAAGTCAAAAAGTGGAAATAACCCAGAGCCTAGAAAATAATGAATATATAAAAATGTAGCCTATTTATACAATGGAATATCATTAAACAGTAAAATGCAGCAGTGAATTATTGCTACAACCTGGGAGAAACTGAAAAGCCTGATGTCGACAGATAATAAGTAGTCAGATTGAGGCAAAACACTAAAGGGATGCGGCAGAGCAACCGGAGGAGCAGAGCAGGGAGCTCACAAGGGAGTACAAAGGATAGACTCTGGGGCCAGAGTGTGGCACTCCATCGGACCTGACCAGAGGACAAGCCTAGAGTTCAAAAATCAGACCTTGATCTATTTACAGGCTTTTCTTTCTTTTTAAAAATTTTCCTTGGTGTTTTTTCTTTTAATTAATTTATTCTTTTATGGGTCATTGGTTTTCTTTTTTGTTGTCATCGCTCTGTTCTAATTAGTCGCCTGTCTTGATATGCCTTGTTTTTTGGTGCCTATTATTATCTCTACACATCTATCTAGATAAGATAGGCTGTATGAACAGTCTGGAGGAGAAAACAATGGAATCAATGGTTCCCGGGGGGACATGGGAGAGGGGGAGCGGGGGTAAGGAGGTGGTGATGACCAACCCAGGGACAGGGGAGCAACAAGTGATCCAAAAACAGTGGCAAGGAGGTGTGAGAGGCCTGGTAGGGATTCAGCAAGGGCAATGTAAACGAGAGAAATTACTGAAACCCAAATGAAGGTTGAGCATGATAGTGGGACAAGAGGAAAGTAAAACAAAATAGAGGAAAGAACTAGGTGACAAAGGGTATTTATAGAGGTCTAAATACAGGCATGTATGTACATATGTAAATATATTTATATAAGATGGTGG